AGTCACTCTGCTCACCCCACATGTGGAGGGGGGCTAAAAAAGGTGCCCTACACATAGCTTGCCTAAAAAACCAACCTGACTAGGCAACCGCACCCAGGAAGGTCGAAAACACAATCAAAATCTTATGGTCGATGCATGGAATGTCAAGACCCTTTTGCATACTGCCACTAATGAGCGTCCTGAAAGAAGAACGGCCCTTGTGGCAAAAGAGCTGGCTAGGTATAACATCGACATAGCAGCCATTAGGGAGTCCCAGCTCTCAAACAAAGGTCAACTCACAGAACGGAGGTCTGGCTATACCTTCTTCTGGAAGGGTAAGCCTGCTGCGGAGAGAATCTGCATTTATGGGGTTGGCTTTACCATCCGCCAATGCATGCTACATAAGCTAACTGAAATGCCTGTTGGGATCATCAAGTGCCTCATGACGATCCGAGTCCCACTGAATCACTCACGTCATACCTTCTTCATCAGTGCATACACGCGAACATTGGATGCAGAGGATGACATCAAGGAGGTCTTTTATGCTGACCTTGCCAGAGTGCTAACCTCTATCCCCAGAGAAGATAAGGTTGTGCTCCTAGGTGACTCAATGCCGGAGTTGGCAGAGATGCTGACATTTGGCAGGGTATCAAAGGGAGAAATGGACTAGGCAAGAGTAATCCCAATGGTCTACTTCTCCCCAACAAGTGCGCTGCACACAACCTCACTATCACCAATACCTTGTTTTAGGCAGGCCGACAAGTTCAAGGGATCATGTCAACACCCACTATCCAAACCCTGGCATCTAATTGACTACATCATTGTGAGAGAAAGAGATCGCCGAGATGTCCTCATCACTCGTACCATGCGTGGCTCAGACCACTGCGACACTGATCATCAGTTCGTCAGAGCTAAGCTCTCACTTCACATCACCCCAAAACGGCGATAGTAACAAACCTCCAGAAGAGGTTTTAACACTAATCGTCTGGAGGATCCAGCGGTAGCACATGCTTTCAGAGAGCAGCTTGAACATGCTGATAAACAACCCGGCAACAAACAACCCAAATCCCAGTACCGAATGAGGCATTCTCGACACTGTCATGACAAAAACCTGCAGAGAGACCCTCGGTCATATCGAAAGAATACACCAGGACTAGTTTCATGAAAATGACTCAGAAATCAGTGTACTCGTCAATGATAAATGTGCTGCTTTAACTGACTGGTACAACAACCCTCAGTCTTGGACCAAAGATGGTACCTTCCGCAAGAAGAAAGTGGCGGCCCAATGCGAACTTTGCAATTTAAAGAACGATTGGCTTAAAAATAAATCATGGGAAATGGAAAAAAAATTGCAGATTAACACAAGATGAGCGAATTTTTTAATTCCACTAAAACATTTTATGGGCCAATCACTCATGGCACAGCCCCCCTCTACTTATCCGATGGTAACTCCCTAATTAAAGATGAAGAAGGCATCCTTCAGCGCTGAAAAGAGCACTACCATTCACTGCTCAACCGAAACACCGATGTGGATATCCTGACTACCCAACAGGTTCCTCAGCACCCAGAACTGACCTACCTCAGCTATCCTCCATCCCTAGATGAGGTAGCTACTGCCATCAAACAGATGAAGAATAACAAAGAATCCCTGCCGGGGTGTAAAAGGCAGGAGGACTCACTCCTGGAGAATGTATAGAAAATGGAGGAAATCCCTCAACCATTAAAAGACGCCTCCATCGTCAATATTTATAAGAACAAGGAAGGCCGGTCAGACTGTGGCAACCACCACGGGATTACGCTGCTGTCCATAGCTGGCAAGATTATCGCCCGAGTCCTCCTAAACAGACGTCTTCCTGAGGCGGAAATCTTCCTCCCAGACTCTTAATGTGGCTTTAGACCATCACGAGGCACCACTGACATGATCTTTGCTGCCCACCAGATGCAGGAAAGTGCAGAGAACAGCGTCGTGAATTGTACATGGTTTTCATCTACCTAACCAAGGCCTTCGACTCGGTCAACAGGGAAGCCCTAAGCTGTTTTAGCTGCCCCCCAAAAATATTCATCGACATTGCGAGGCAACTCCACGATGGCATGAACGGCAGTGTCCTGCACAATGGCACCCAGTCTGAGTTCTTCCCCATGGAAACGGGGGTAAAACAAGTATGTATATTGGCACCAACTCGCTCTTCCATTTTCTTGGCTGCCTTCCTTACTCGTACCAGTGCCAATTTAGCCAGCGGGGTGAACATCGAGTACCGGGTGAAGGGAGGTCTTTTCAACATAAGACGACTCCAGGCAAGAACAAAGGTGTCGGCAGCTTCCATTACTGAACTTCAGTAAGCAGACGACCCTACCCTTGTTGCTCACACTGAACACGACCTACAGGAGATTCTGAACACCTATGCAAACGCGTATGCACACTTCGACCTTGAGGTGAATGTACGTAAGACTCAGATTCTCTTTCAACCTGCCCCTGGTTCAGACACACCTCCACCATCCAGCCAGCTTAATGGTACTACACTCTCTAATGTTGCCCACTTTCGGTATCTCGGCTCCCACCTGTCCACCATCGCAGACATCGATGAAGAAATTCAGCATCGGATCAGATGTGCATCTCACGTCTTGGGCAGACTCCGAAATCGTGTCTTAAGCTGTAGGGAGCTGAAATTATCCACAAAGTTGCACGTATATCGAGCAGTGGTCCTGCCCACCCTACTATATGGCAGTGAGACATGGGTTACATACAGGAGGCACTTGAAAACTTTCACCAACGTGGTCTACGTTCCATCCTCCGAGTTCGTTGGTAAGACAAGAGAACAAATGCCAGTATTCTTGCTGACACCAACTGTAGGAGCATCGAGGCTACCATTATTCATGAACAACTACGTTGGACTGGCCATGTTACCCGCATGGACGATAGTAGACTGCCAAAGCAGCTACTTTACCGTCACCTAACGAATAGCAAACGTAAGGCTGATGGGCAATTGAAAAGGTATAAGGATAGTCTTAAGACAAACCTGAAAAGGTGCTAAATCGACCCCCTCACCTGGGAGTTGATTATTCCACAACGTAACGCTTGGAGGAGCACCACACGGGAAGGTGTCAATATTTTCGAGTTAGCCCGAATGCAAACCGAGGCAGACAAGCACCAACGTCGGAAAGACGCTGCCACCGCCCCTCCCGCAGTAGATGGAGCCCTCCACATGTGCAACGAATGTGGACGACGCTGCCGGTCCCGTATCGGGCTCTTTAGTCACCTCAAACCTCACCAACCTAGGTGACATCCCAAATATCCCATATCATTTTACCATAGCTGGTTGATCGTCATACTCGATTCCGAATGACAGCAAAGAAGTAGTGTGTGTGTGTGTGTGTGTGTGTGTGTGTGTGTGTGTGTGTGTGTGTGCGTGCGTGCGTTCGTTCGTTCGTGTGTGTGTGTGTGTGCTTCTGTGTGTGTGGGGTGTCCCTACTTTAGTGTGTGTTATCTTGATTCAGTGTTTGGGGTCTTGAGGGTTGGACTTCAGATAAACAATTCTTAGCCATCCTTCTTATGTTGCCGCGGCGTAAGTGTTCAGCTCTTATCACACTTAAGAGTTGTTTACTATAAAGTAACTCTCAGCATTTTTCTCTATGGCTTGTGAGGCTGTACACAGCCTACAGCAATATAATTTTCTGATAATTTGGTAACCTGACTTAATCTCTTCTGAGTATTTATGGTTACAAGCTTGTTGTGTTAGAGATATGTTACTAGTGAGTGCGTACCATAAATTAAACTGACGATATTGAGCTATGTACCTGCCAATGATAAACTGGTTATTTTCATATTTTTATACTGTGCTACTTTTACTTTTATCCTCTTCAACACTGATCGACTCATTAGCCGCTTGAGCGGTCGGTTACTCGGTGCTGTCACAATACTCTCTGGCAGATTATTCCAAGAGTTTACAATTCTCACTCCAAAAAAGTTTGCTCTTTCAATTTTCTGAACTTGTAGCTTCTTCAACCTTGAGCTGTGACCTCTAGTGGGGCGGGCATCCGCCAGCTCCAGGTATGGACACTCGACTGAGTAGTGTCCTCTGAGATGTTTGTAAACTTCAATTAAGTCACCCCTTGCCAGCCTATAGTATAAGCTAAGCAGCTGCAGACGTTCTAATCTCTCTGCGTAACTGAGATGCCTAGTGCAGACACCAGTCTGGTGGCCCTCCTGTGGATATTTTCAATGAAACTGACAGTTTCTAGCAATATCTCGGGGACTAGACAAGGTAACAGAACTCCAAATGAGGTAGTACGGGGGACCTTATAAGACCTAATAGCTTCTAGCTTCGTTGCTTGATTTACCTTCTTCTCACAATGGCCCGAGAACTTCAGTTCATTGTTAACATACACACCCAAGTCCTTTTCACATTCGGTCTCTGTTGGGACATGTGGCGTACCACATGTCCCAACAGAGACCGAATGTTGGTACGACCTAGGTACATCCTCTTACACTTTGTGACATTGAATCTTAACAACAATTTCTTCGACCACTCTTGAAGCTGACAGAGATCTTTCTGTAGTTCTTCACAGTTCGTTTGGTTTTTAATTTCCCTGAATAACTTGGCATGTCATTTATGAAACAAACAAACAAACAAACAACACTAGGTTCCGCACACTGCCCTGTGGTACCGCTTGTCACAGGTACACAAGACGATTTCGTGCCAATAATCACCACACACTGCTTGAAGTCATGAAAAAAACCTCCGATCCACGCTAGGGCACTTCCCCGAATCCCGTACCCTTCCAGTTTAATTCTAAGCCTTTCATGGGGTACGCTGTCAAAAGCCTTGGCAAAATCCATATATAAATATACCCCACTAATATAGAACACATTTTTCACTTTATATTTTTGTGTCTGATCTCTAAATTACAGTATTTTATGGCCATTCTATTTTGAGACTTTTAACAGGAATGTAAGATTTTCTCTTTTTTTTAAGTTGTGGGTAAAAATCACACATCACCAACTGTCTCTCTCTTTTCCTCACCTGAAACTGTTTTGACGATGACTGTGAGGGCAGCGCGAGCGTAAGGGTCCCGATATATCCCACGGTACACCCGCCCAAAAGTACCTTCCTGCACTACGTCACCAACCTCTACCTGTCGAAAGAAAACTTCATTTGTACTGTATGTAAGAAAAAATAAATAAATAAATAAATATATACAGGTATATGCAAAAAATCACTGTAGGTGCGCGTGATCCAGGTATATGCTGATAACCACAAGGAAAGAAGAAAACACGAAGTTCCCAAGGCTTTATGTAATTCACATCTTCAGGGGGGTGACCGGATAAAACCCCAACGGACAAAACCCCAGTCTCATATATAAAATATAAAATAAAACACTTTTATGTTTTGTTTAGGTTAGGTTAGGTGAGGTAAGGTTAAGTTAGATTAGTGTTGATAAATGACAACCCGTTGGGGTTTTGTCCGTTGTGTTTGTCATAGGACCTAACCTTCTCACCTGGTTACAAATCTTCTTAATTACAAAATTGTCCAGTTTGTACATGCCATTACTCAAATTCATGTTGACTGCTTCGGTATGTTTAATGAGACTAGATTCTATAATGTTCCTACTGGACAATTTTGTAAATTAGAAGATTTGTAACCAGGTGAGAAGGTTATCACCTTAACCTCTGACTGACTACCGACCGTTGCGGTGCTTTTAAAGATTATAGGTCATTACCTAATACCGACCATTGTGGACCTGGTCTCACCCTCCTCTGCATATATATCTTGTTTTGTACTTCTCCTTAGTCTGTACTCACCCCTGAAGATGTGAATTACACGAAAGAGCTTAAACTTCGTGTTTTCCTTGTGGTTATATATATATTCTCACAAACTAACTACTGACTTGCATTATTACCCTTCATCTTATTATAAAAATGATTGTCTTCCGAGTGACTAAAGGTAAATGTACAGTATATGTCTTTTAGGTGTGGTTCACTCAGTAATAAAAGGAATATATATTTACATACAAAGACAAGGAAACAGCCTCAAGTAAGATGACAAAATTCTAGTTAAACTGGAAGATGATTTTGATTAGAATGAACGATTAAATAATACTGTACCTCGGTCAGTACTTCCTGGTGTTAGTTTAGTTAATGTGTGATGAACCAGGTTTAAATTTAAGTCTAATGAGCTTCCACATAAAACACAAATAAAAACTGTTTCTCAGGATGTTTAATGTTACAAGAATGAAAGAAAGACTTAGTCATATACTGTACACAGGAGTTAAATGATTAAGAGAAGTAGACAGCTGACCTTCCATCTATCTATCGCCAACTGTCGCACCCTTTCACTTGGGTCCATGTTGCGGGGGTCTCGCCAAGATGCCTGTAAACAATAAGGTTTAGGTCAGGTATGAGTTACTTGTGTATACGAATTTCATGAAACAACTTGGTAAGGTCTCTATTGTGTAATTCCAAGAAGTCTGTTAAAAAGTTGAGTTTTTGTAAGATTCATTGTGATTTACTAAGATTTACCCTGGGGTTGATTATCATCTGACATAGAAATCAGAAAAATTATATATTGGAAATTTATTATATAATGGATATCATATGGTAAACCATTGTTGATAGAAGGCATAAAGTAGTAATAAGACTGATTCATAGAGGATGGGAACACATGCAAATTAATTAATGATGTAGAAATATGAAAAAGAACTAGATAATAAATGTGGGTACAGTAGTGTCTTTCAAATAAATTTACTGAGTGAGACAGAGTGGAAACCGCTTTTAAATTTATTGACAAATGTAACAAGAACGATACCGAGTGAAAAACAAAAGCAATTGAATGATCGCAAGGGCTCAAGGTCCCCTGCTGTGGTATGGGTGGAACATAACTCCCTAAATATGAAAGGAAAATAGTGATGCTTGAAATGCTCAGAGATCTTGTTAGGTTGTATCTACACACCAAGTTGCATTGAAATCCATCCACCAACACACATCTCTCTCTCTCACACACACACACACACACTTTTCCATATCCCTGCTGGATGAGACTTTGAAATGGTGACTAGCATTTTGAGATCATTCAATAAACACAATGAAGGGAGATGAAGTTTTGTAGAGTTCACATTCTAACTAAGAGGTAAACAAGTAAAAGGGGCTCATCATACCTTTTTATATTTACACTGTGAAGAGCAACAAATTCGAGACTTACACATGCTTCATCCGTTCTTACTGACAGATCCTTGCTGACGTTGATTAAATAATCCACCACACATACAATGGGTATACAGTATACCAACAAAGTTTTTCGGCGGTGTTAAGACTCAACATCGTGCCTGTAGGTCACTCCCACCATTCACTGTTAATATTCTGGCTCTTCAGTAAGACATGAAATACTTTTTAATACTTGTAGTTTCAACAATCATAGGCTGCATGTCATATTTTACGCATCTAAAACGAAACACAGAAAAAACACCAAACAATGAATGGTGGAAATGTTTGGAATTTAGCACTCTGGATTTCAGCAAGATGATCACCTTTCTATACAGAAGGTGATAACAGTAGAGCAAAGTGACGGCAGCAGTGCTATCAGCTTGTGGGGCCTCTCACCTGGGAGTGAAGGAGGAGGCGCAACATGAGGCATGCGAGTGCCTGGAGGCGGGAGGAGGCTGGGAGTACGGCTGGGAGTACACCTGCGACAGCGGGGAGGAGGCGTGCAGAGACTCGCCACCCCCACTCAACGCACAAACCTGCAAGTTCCAACACTGTAATATTTCTATGATGTTTCTCACTTGCTTGGTGTCTAAGTGAAAAAAAAAATGGTAAGCTCAGGCATTATGTCCTGTAGTGCACACTAAACTCTGGCATTCACTACCACGGGCAAAGCAGTAATACTGAAGCAGTGAAGTTGTGAATTGAATCGAATGCTGTAAAAAATTTAGCACGGGTACACAAGAGAAGTGATGTTTTTAGAAAAATTTTTGATAAAAACCCTACATGTTATCATATCATCAGAAACACAGATACAAAAAAAGCTACCATTTAAAAGCAAAAACCCTGAACATTGGAAATATATGTACTTCACATAAGAGTAAAACCTTATCTGTATAACCTTGGTACAGTTGGACCCAAAAAGATGATTGAATGTACTGTACTAAATAGTATAATGTTCATATACAACAGTTTCTTGGACCGAGAGTATGTAGTAACAGTCAGTATAAGACTTTGAAGAAAACTTTCAAGCAGGGTGGTTTGATTACGGCGGGTCAGAAAAAAAAATACGGTAGACTAAAGGGGACTCATTTAAAAAAAAAGTAAATGTATTTGGTTGAAAGGTCACATATTCACAAGAAAGTGTATGTACTTCAGTAATATGTATTTAAGTTATACATATATAACACGTACTGAAGATTTATACCATCAGTACAATCGTAAGTAACACATAATCGAAGAATCGTTAAAATTTCACATAGTACAGTACCAAAATTTAAGAGGCGGTCTACATAGTTTAATTATGCACACTTAAGAAGAGATTAGCATATAGAGAGTTTAAATGGAAGTGCTAATATTGCAGAAATAGCAAATTTCTTATTATTTTATGAACTTGTCTGGATTAATTTTGTAGGTGGATGTTGTAGAGGTTAGTTTAGGGCATAATACAAAGGGGTTAGGTTAGGGCATAATAAAAAGGGTTAGGCTAGGCATAATAAAAAGGGCTAGTTAGGGAATGATACAAAAGGTTAGGCTAGGGCATAATGAAAAGGGTTAGGTTAGGCATAATACAAAGGTTAGGTTAGAGAATGATAAAGGGGTTAAGGCATAATACAAAAGGAGTAGGCATAATACAAAAGGGTAGTTAGGCATACAAAAAGGGGTTAGGTTAGAGAATGATACAAACGGATTAGGTTAAGAACACAAAAGGGTTAGGTTAGGCATAATACAGAGGAAACAAGGTAGGTTAGAGAATGATACAAACGGATTAGGTTAGGCATAATACAAAGGGTTAGGTTAGTACACACAAAAGGGTTAGGTTAGGGTAATACAAAAGTAAGGTTAGAGAATGATAAAACGGATTAGGTTAAGGCATAATACAAAAGAAGGATAATACAAATGTAAGGCATAATACAAAAGGGAGGTAGGGCATAATACAAAAGGGGTTAGTTAGAGAATGATACAAACGATTAGGAGGGTTACAAAAGGGGGTTAGGCATAATACAAAAGGGTTAAGTTAGAGCATAATAAAAACAGGTTAGGTTAGGGCATACACAAAAGGGTTAGGTTAGGGCATACAGGTAGGTTAGAGAATGATACAAACGGATTAGGTTAGGGCATAATACAAAAGGGTTAGGTTAGGGCATAATACAAAAGGGTTAGACTAGTCACTAGGGCAAACTACAATGGGATTAGGTTTGGGGATGATGCAAGAGGGTCAGGTTAAGTACATAATGCAAGAGCATTAGCTTAGTTTAGGAACTTTAGGGCATAATAAGAGCGTTAACAAAAAAAAGGAAGAAAATGTAAATTACTGATTTTTCACGGAGATAAAATATTCTTGGGTGTTACTTTTACATATATTTTTAATTTGCTTTTTTGGTCAATGATTATGAACATAATATTATTATTTTGTATTTATTTAACATTTCACCACTTTATCAGCTTACTAGCCATTCGGGGCGGTTTAGTCCGTTCTTTGTTGATTTAATACTTTATTTGTCCAGTCGACTTTAAACATTCAAGTTTTAACCCTTTCGCTAAGGGGGAAGTCACTTTTAATATTTGATTCGGTTAACGCCAGGTGATTTTATTCGGAAGAGAAGGAACCCCGTGCACAGGTGGTTAAAGCTATCATCCTATATAGTGGGTAGTTTGTCTTATCTTTCAGTCTGGTTTATTGTCATGCTCTCCTGGTTTGTAGAGATTTGTAGGTGTGGATTCTGATGTCATTTATTATTTGGCTTTATATCTGGGGTCCAGCCTTTGGATCTTAAGTTCTGTGTAGGTCTTGCTTTTAGGTTTTGGTTCTTAAGTTCTGTGTAGGTTTTGGATCTTAAGTTCTGTGTAGGTCTTGCCCTTAGGTTTTGGATCTGTGTGTAGGTCTTGCACTTAGGTTTTGGTTCTTAAGTTCTGTGTAGGTGTTTCCATTAGGTCTTGGATCATGTGTGCCTAGAGTCATATTGGTCTGCTTTGGGCTATGGCCGCTAATGAAGCTAAATGTAAAGTTGTTGACGTTTTAATGTTATCACTGCCTACACCACCTGTCATTTTCCTCCTTATACTATCTGTCATCTCCCCAACCACGTCCTCCCATTTCAACCTAACCTAATCTCACCACATTGTCCTTATCCACTCCCCACCCTTTCAATCAGTTCCCATAACCCAAAGGAGGGAAGGAGGAGCGGCGCCACTACTGAAAGAGAGAGGAGGAGGGAGGAGGGAGACAAAGGGGAGGGAGTGGCGTGCGTTACTCAGGAGTGCGGTAGTTGGGCGAGGGAGTGTACACAGCCGGGGAACCTGCTAGATTAAGCATACAACGTGGACAATGAGTCAAGAGGAGCGTATATTATGTGTTGGCCGGACCAGCGCATGGGTGAGGAGCCGCTGGTCAAGCTTGGGATACGGGGGAGAGGGAGGGGGAGGCTGAGGGAGAGAGAGGGAATGGAAGGAAGAGAAGGGAGGGAGAGAGGAAGGGAGGGAGAGAGGAAGGGAGGGAGAGGAAAGGAGGGAGAGAGGAAGGGGTGGTAGGGTAAGGAGAAAGAGAGGGGAAAGAATGAGGGAAGGAGGGAGGGAGAGGCTGAGGGAAGGAGGGAGGGAGAGATTGAGAGAAGGAGAGAGAGAGGATTTAGGGAAGGGGAGAGAGAGTAAATGAGGGAAGAAGGGAGAGAGAGGATAAGGGAAGAAAGAGAGTGAATGAGAGAAGGAGAAAGTGAGTGAATGAGAGAAGAAGAGAGTGAATGAGGGAAGGAGAGCGAGAGAGCAGAAAACGGAAGGCGGAAGGAATGAAAGAAGAGAAAGAAGCCCTACTATAGAGAAGCCGTCGTACCAACTACAGTATGTCTTGCATATTGTCGGGAATAATATATTGGCCCGAACAATGCCTGGGTAACGGGGCTTTGTTGGCCGTGTTTTTATTGGCAAGACTAACGAGTTCATGGATCAGCGGCCACTATGACCATCGCCTGGGGTAGAGGGGTGGGTTGGCGCTGAACTAATGCCTTTGGGGGAGCCGGCGGAAGACGCTGGTTGTGAGGTGGTGGTGGTGGGGTTTGGGCAGCCTGGGTCAACACCACCACCACCTTACAAATGGATACTTGTATAACGACTTTACTACTGGACTTATCTCTATCTATCTTCTGGCCCAGTTCCATCTCTCTCCCAAGTCCCTTCGTGTGTTATCGGAATATTTTACACCAATCTCACAGTTCACTTAGTAACATTTGTTGCATAAGCTGACGATGGACCAATATATTTCTGGTAACTGAGTTTTTTTTTTTAACTAACATGGCTAAACGTTCTGCATTTTCTATTCAACAAATATGAATGATTAACAGGAAAATAATTAAATCGTCAATAATTTCCTATGTAACTAAAACTTATAGCAGCGAAATATCTACGTATAATTATAACATTTCCTAATTATTTTTCATGTCTGCGTTTAGATGATTTTAATTTATTTTACTTTCTCTTTGTCATCTTGTTATTCCTACCTTTATTAACCTACTTAAGTTCACTTTTAAGTTAAGATGATCAAGAAAATTACAAGTTTAAGATGACCACAAGACTTGATTTCAACAATATTTGAAAGTTTGTGAGAATTAGTTGAAGATTTGAGTTAGGCAGAGCAATGGTGAATCTGACGGTTGGAGATATCTTCGTGTGCCAACTGCAATCTTTTTTTTTTATGGTCCTTGCTTGGAGTATATCAACACTGAATTTGACAGCAAGGTTTTTTAACATCTTTCTGGGTGTGGTTTAGGTTTAGCTGCGTCCGTTACAGTCGGTCATGCACGAGGAGGGAGCATAATTTTAAACAAGAGCGAAGTTGTGCCTAGTGCCAAGTTTTATTGCTGTGACTTTTATGCCTTGTCGTATCCTCCCCACCACCTTAATCAACAACAAGGCATCTTATTTGGATCTACCTGTCTCAGCATCTCCAGTTCCCAATCCTCCCTCAGTCCCCCACCCGGCTGCACTTCCTATACTGCTGCAACTTGCTACGTTCAACCCAAGACCTACGCAACTGGAAATGGCTAATCTTTTAAGTAGTTGTAAAAGTGTCTGGATTTTTCCTTAACTTCTGAGCTATCCGGAAAAAAAAGTATGAATCGTGAGCCGAATTTCGAAGAGTTCGTACTTTTGAAACCATGGTAAGAGCTCCACCCAGCCTAGTTCATGTTGGATGTTATGTTACACAAGAAAGTAAACGGAAATGTAAATAGCAATCCAAAAGAATTCAACCCCCAGAAGAGAAAAACGCATATCATTCATATTTTACCACTGACTAAGCCTATTTAAGTTTTTAAGGTTTAATAGAGTAAAGAAAATAAAACAATACAGTAGAAATAGTTTGGTTTTATTAGAGCGTAGTGTTGTAGAGTAAAGACGCTTGTTGTCAGTCCCGCGTGATACCCGTTCTGAAGGTCGGTTATTGCTTACACATAAACAACTTTAAAC